CGTTGGGGAGATCGGGTGGATGGTGGCAGCAGGAGGTGGCAAGGTGACGTGGGGCCAGTGGTGACATTGGGGACAGGGGTGGCATGGGGCTAAGGGTGATGCTGGTGACAATGGTGGATGGGGACACTGGGAGGGGACAGGAGTGACGTGAGATGTTGGGGACAAAGTGGTGCAGGTGGTGACACCAGCAGGGGACAAGGTGACGTGGCAGCTGACATCCCCATCTCCACAGCGACGTGGTGGCCAGTGTCCCCATGTCCGCAGGTGCCCACATCCATGGGGACACGGTGACCAGGTGGCCCGTGTCCCTTTGGCACCCAGGTGCACCATGACCTGGTGGCTGATGTCCCCACATCCTTCAGGCCCCCGGGTCCATGGTGAGGTGACACGATGGTTGATGTCTCCATGTCCCCGTGTCCCTCAGGTGCCACCTCCGTGGTGCCGTGACGGCTGGTGGCCATGTCCCTCAGGTGTCCAGGTCCACAATGACGTACGGGTTGATGTCCCCATGTCCCAGGTGCCCAGGTCCATGATGAAGTGACAGCTGATGTCCCCATGTCCTTCAAGCACCCAGGTCCACAGTGACATGATGGCCGATGTCCTCGTGTCCCTCAGGTGATCCAGGTCCACGGTGACATCATGGCCGATGTCCCCATGTCCCTCAGGCACCCAGCTCCATGGTGACATCACGGCCGATGTCCCCACGTCCTTCAGGTGCCCAGCTCCAGAATGTTTGATGTCCCTCAGGCACCCCAGCTCCACGGTGACATCACGGCCAATGTCCCCACGTCCCTCAGGCGCCCCAGCTCCACCGTGACATCAGGGCCGATGTCCCCACGTCCCTCAGGCCCTCACCTCCATGCCGTGATGGTTGATGTCCCCGTGAAGCACCCAGCCCCGTGACGCTCGCCGTCCCTCGTGTCCCTCAGCCACCGCAACGTGACGCTGGCCGTCCCTCAAGCCCCCAGGTCCACGGTGACGTGCCGGTAGATCTGGGTGGCCCCCTTGAAGCTGGAGGCCACCAGAAAGTGCCGGTGGCCCAGGGAGAGGGGGGCGAAGGCGCGGGGCGTGGGCGTCAGCAGCTCCTGGGTGGGCTCCAGGTGGCCACCGGGACCGAGGCGGTAGACGCGGCTCGGGGCGTAGTCATTGCCCAGGATGACGTAGCGTTGGCCGGCCACCGCCAACGGTTGGAAGACCAACGAACCCCGCGCCGGTACCTGCTGCACCTCCCGGAACATGGAGCCTTCCCAACGCATCACCTGGACGCAGAGAATCATGGGAAGGGGTGGGGGGGGTGGCAAAGGTTGGGTGGTGGGCATCATGGGAAGGGCCTCCATGGACCCATGATGCCGGTGGCCCCCCCATAAACACGTGATGGTGGTAGACCCCCCCCCCCAAGACCCATGATGTTGGTGGCCCCCCATAAACACGTGATGGTGACACACCCCAACGGACATGTGATGACCTCCATGGACCCATGATGCTGGTGGTCCCCCATAAACACGTGATGGTGGTAGACCCCCAAAGACCCATGATGCTGGTGGCCCCCCATAAACACGTGATGGTGACTGGACCCACGAGCTGCCGGCCCCCTCCCCCAAACACGTGGCCAGCCCCGCCCAGCCCCGCCCTCACCTTGGCGTCCCCCAGGAAGCGGGTCAGGCAGAGGAAGACGTGGCCGCGGAGGCGGAAGTGCTTGGCGGCGTAGACGTCGGGCACGTGGGGGATGTCGGTGTGGGGGGCGAAGGCCGCCCCGCTCCACCGGTAGACCAAGGGTCTCCGCGTGCCGCTGCAGACCACCAAGGCCGGCCGCCCCCCCAGCTCCAGGAACTCCAGGTGGGTGTCCCGGTGCCACGGTCGGAGGGCTTGGTGGGGGTAGAAGCCCCGCCCCCCCCACCGGAAGAGGGTGCTGGTGCCCCCCTTGGAGCTATCGGCCACCCCGAGGTACCAGTGACCTCCAAGACGGGCGCTGGCCACCGCGTGGGGACGGCGTAACCGACCGTTCCCCAACGCCTGCAGCCGGACGAAACGGCTAACGGGGCCACCCGCCCCGCCCCCGGCGCGCCAGCCCCCC